AGGATTCAATCTCTACCGCAAGGATGATGATAGCCACAACCGTGCCAGTGGCGGTGTGGCTATTCTGGTTTCAAATCGCATTCCATCCTTACCGGTACAAATAACCACTGATTTGCAAGCTGTGGCAGTCAGAATTTCTATTGGAGTAACTGTCACAGTTTGTTCTATATACCAGATGTCAGAGTCAATGAGAATGAATTGGATGCCTTGGTTGAACAGCTGCCAACACCATTCCTTTTACTTCGAGATTTTAATGGCCACAATCTGATGTGGGGCAGTCCCGACATCAATCGTCAAGGCAGAGCCATTGAGAGATTTGTTGGCAATCAGCAAATGTATTTATTTAATACTGTAGAAGTGACATACTTCCATGCCCCATCAAGAACGTTCACTGCCATTGATCTGTCATTAGCAACTCCGAATCTGTTTTCAGCAGTTACATGGGAGGTTGGATCTAATCCACTCTCTAGTGACCACTTCCCAATATTTCTAAAATATCGAGGCAGAGAAAGCTGTGAAACAGCCCGTCCACCACGCTGGAAACTGGAAACGGCAGATTGGCCTGCATTCTCCTCTTTGGCTAACATCACTGAGGAAATGGTCAATACTGCTGATATCAATGATGCAGTTGAGGTTGTCACTTCGAGTATCATTCAGGCAGCAGAAAAAACAATGGGGAAGACATCAACTAGATATCCAAAACATCCGAAACCATGGTGGAACCAGAATTGTGAGGCAGCATTTAAAGCACAAAAGAAAGCATGGGGGATTTTTAGAAGATACCCCACTGCTGAAAATTTGGTTGCTTTTCAAAAAGCAAAGGCAAATGCCAGAAGAATAAGAAGGCAAAGCCAAAGGGATTCTTGGAGGAAGTATGTTTCAAGCATAACATCTTCCACTAGCTCAAAAGCAGTCTGGGATAAAATCCATAAAATTAATGGGAAATATGCTTCTCACTCTCTGTCCATGCTGGAAAATAATGGCACAATAATCAGCGATATACAGGGTATTGCTGATTTATTGGGTGAAACATTTTCTGCTTCATCCAGCAATATCACGTATTCAAGGAATTTTCAAGCTTATAAAGCCCAAAGAGAAAAACAGTGTTTAAACTTTTACTCCTCATCTAATGAGGAATATAATGTGCCATTCACTAGAATTGAATTACATACAGCAATCTCTCGCTCGGGGAATAGTGCTGTAGGCCCGGATAAAATCCACTACAGCATGATTAAAAATCTGTCAAACAATTCCCTTTCTAATCTCTTGCATCTGTTTAACAGAATATGGACAGAACATACTTTTCCTGACTCTTGGAGGCTATCTATCATTATTCCCATTCCCAAACCTGGTAAAGATCACAAGAATCCCTCTAATTACAGACCAATTTCTCTGACAAGTTGTCTCTGTAAACTTTTCGAGAGAATGGTAAACAGGCGTCTAATGTATCTCTTAGAGAAAAAGGAATACTTTTCACCACATCAGAGTGGTTTTCGTAGGAACAGAAGTACCACTGATAACCTGGTAAACCTTGAAACATCTATACGCGAAGCGTTTGTTCGAAGACAGCACTTAGTGTCTGTGTTTTTTGACATAGAGAAGGCCTATGATCGCTGTTGGCGATACGGGATACTTCGTGATCTACACCAATTTGGATTGCGGGGTAATTTGCCAATTTTTATAAAAAACTTCCTACAGAATCGAAGATTCCAAGTTAGGATGGGCAACACTTTATCTAGGCTCTTCACACAAGAAGAAGGTGTTCCTCAAGGTTCTATTTTGAGTGTGACTCTGTTCCTAATTAAAATTAACAGCATAGCTAACTGTCTTCCTCCCAGTGTGAAACACTCTTTGTATGTAGATGACTTTCAGATCTTTTGTCAGTCTAGTAATATGAGTTTCATTGAGAGACAACTTCAAACTTCCCTAAATCGCATATATGATTGGTCCAAGAGCAATGGGTTTACGTTTAATGCAGCGAAGACATCGTGCATCCACTTCTGCCGAAGGCGTGGTTTGCACCCGGATCCTGAAATTCACCTAAATGGCGATAAAATTCCAATGGTGAATGAGGCTAAGTTATTGGGTGTTTATTTCGACCCAAAACTGACATTTTTGCCACACTTGCGCAACCTGAAGAGTAGATGTTTAAAATTTCTAAACCTTTTAAAGGTACTATGCTGCTCATCCTGGGGAGCAGACAAAGTTTCTATGCTCAGGATTTATAGGGCCCTTGTCTGCTCTAAGCTGGATTACGGTTGCATTGTTTATGGCTCTGCGCGAGAATCTACTCTTCACATGCTGGATCCAATCCATTACCAAGCACTACGTTTGTGCACTGATGCTTTTCGAACTTCCCCTGTACAAAGTTTGTATGTGGATGCTTATGAGCCTCCACTATCTCTCAGGAGAGAACAGTTGTCTCTACTTTACTATATAAAACAGAAATTTTACGCTAAACCTTCAGTTAATTGTACAGTATTAGATACTCAGCTGAAAAGGTTATTTGAAGCTCGCCCAAGCAGTTTCCCTTCATTTGCCGTAAGAATGGAGAATGTGAGCAGCACGATTGACCTGGATACAGACAACATTTCACAGCTAGAGGTCTGTAGTATATCACCTTGGTCAACTCCTGTGAAAAATGTTGACTTTAGCTTAAAGCAATTTTCTAAGGAATCCACACCAGACTACGTCTACAGACAGCACTTTGCAGAAATTCAACACCATGACAGGAATTTAATTCCTATTTATACAGATGGATCTAAATCTGATGATTACGTTGGCTCAGCTTTTGTCTGTTAGGATGAAATCGTAGCAGAACAAATTGCATTGAATTCTTCCATCTTTTCTGCAGAGCTGCATGCTATTCATTTAGCTTTAAAGTGTATAAATAGGAAAGGTCATCCTTCCTGTGTTATTTACACTGACTCAGTTAGTGCACTTCAGGCTTTGATTTCATGTGAACCTAGTTCTCTCTCTATAGTGATTAAAATTCGCAAATTGTTTTGCCATCTTACTGCGAGTAATTTCTTTGTAAAATTTTGTTGGGTCCCAGGCCACGTAGGTATAAAAGGGAATGAAGAAGCTGACGCAGCTGCAAAGTGAGCTACTGCTTTACAGCATATAATGCGTATTGAAGGAGATGATTTGAAGCTAGTAGTTAAAAAATGACTAGCAGAGAAATGGCAAAACGTGTGGAATGCACAAGTCCACAATAAACTACATGAGATCAAGCCAAATATAGAAAATTGGACACATAATAAACAGTATGACAGGAGATCTGAAGTAATTCTTANAAATCTGATAACTATGTTGGCTTAGCCTTTGTTTGCCAAAATGAAATTGTGGCAGAACAAATAGCACCAAATTCTTCCATCTTTTCTGCGGAGTTGCAGGCTATTTATTCAGCCCTAAAGTATATAAATAGGAAAGGTCATCGTTGCTGCGTGATTTACACTGACTCAGTTAGTGCACTTCAGGCTTTGATCTCGTATGAACCTAGTTCTCACTCCATAGTTATTAAAATTCAGAAACTAATTTGTCATCTCCTTGCAAGGGATTTCTCTATAAAATTTTGTTGGGTCCCAGGCCACGTAGGAATAAGAGGAAATGAAGAAGCTGATGCAGCTGCTAAGTCAGCAAGTCCTTCTCAGCATACAATGCGTATTGAAGGAGGCGATTTGAAGCTAGTAGTTAAAAAACAACTAGCAGAGAGATGGCAAATTATGTGGAACGCACAAATCCACAATAAACTACACGAGATCAAACCTTTGATAGAAAATTGGACACATAATAGGCAGTATGATAGATCTGAGGTTGTCCTTACTCGTTTGAGAATTGGACACACTCGACTGACCCACCAATACCTTTTGAAGGGAGATGACGAACCAGTATATCAGTACTTCAACTGTACTGTAAGTGTTAAACACATATTTTGCAACTGTGTTGCTTTTGATCAGAGTCGTAGACAGCATTTCGGAAATGCAAGCTTTAGAGAGATCTTGGGGCAGCGGCCAAATCTGCACAATATAGTGAACTTTCTGAAAGTCAATAATATGTATATAGAGATTTGATCACTTATTTATTTATCTTACAATTTTATTTACCTTGTTTTTTCTATTTATATTGTATATATTTCGTTCGTTGTTCATATATTTATTTAATTTAGTGATATATTTCTTATGTTATTAATTAATAGGTATAAGGGGATTTGTGTGTATTTTATTATATGTATTTATTATACAGTTTTATATAAATTATTGTATATATTTTTTGTTGTATGTTTATTTATTTACTTGTTTATTTAATTTTGTAATATGAAAATTTTCCACCTTTTGCTTTGGTGCAGCTTAGCCTATATGGCTCTTGTGCCAAAAAACCAAAACAAAACAAACAAACTAACTTTCTTTTTTAAGCATTACGCAGCTGAAGATATAATGAGTGCTTCCATTTTTAAATTTACAAGTTGGACATTCTTTATTGATGTATTCAGTAAATCTGTGTAGGTACAGTCGACCCCCTATAACGTGCGTTCCTATAACGACAATTCCTATAATGTAGCGAAAAAATTGTAGTAAC